CGCCTCCGCTCCCACCGCTACCGCCACCGCCGCCTCCGCCTCCGCCGCTGCCACCGCCACCTCCACCCCCGCCACCACTCCCACCGCCACCCCCACTCCCCCCGCCGCCCCCACCGCCACCTCCACCACCCCCGCTAGCCCCACCCGCGCCCTTGCCCCCCTTTGCCCTTGCCAGAGCGGCGTCTCCCGCTAGGGGCAGACGCCGCACCGACCGACTCAAGACCAACGAGGTCGGCCGCAGCAGTAGAGGCGACAGAGGGCAACAGGGGGGAAAGGGAACACCCCTTAAAGATGGGGGTGCGAGGGTCACCACGAGAGGCTCCTACAGCGACGATGCTCTTCTCCGGTGCTAGGAGGGCCTTCTCTAGGAGGTCAACAGTGAGAGTGGTGGGACAGACGGAGAGGAAGTGGTCCCTGACTACGCGAAGGGAGTCAGGGAGGCGAGTGACTATATAATAGAGAGTGATGTACATGGGGGGGGGATTCTTGGCGCAGAACTCAGCAGGAAGTGCGGCGCAGTAGCGAGTGTCACTAGTGCGGAGGTGCGTAACGAGGTCAGCGACTGTGGGAAAGGCAGCAAGGTCAGGAAAGAGGTACGGTAGCATGAGGTGGCTCAGTGCAGCAGTGGCAGGGGAAGAGTAGCGCGCAACTACAGCGTTGTATAAGGTGTGAGCACTCTTGTACTGACTAAAGTGCGCGCGCTCAGAGGTAGGCAGGTGGCGACGCACAGCAAGACGTGCAGCAGCATCGCGCGTGGCCCACTGGGAGCGAACAGTTGGGTCAGCATCAGCAGCAGGGGCAGGAGAGGCGCCAGAGGTGAGGTCAAAGAGGGAGAGACCGTCTGCCCTATCGCACTGTAAGAAGAGCTGCAGGTCATCTACCCAAACCTCAAAGTCAATGGCTCGACCCTCGGCGTCAAAAGCGAGAACACTAGGGGAAGCCATGACAGCAGTAGACTAGCGAGACCAACTATAGGACAGGGGCAGTGCAGTGACAGAAGCGCTGGTCTCACCAGACAGGGCAAGTCGGGCAGCTCAGTAGTGCAGTAACACGGCAACACGGCTGCTCGAACGGCTCAGTAGCGACTGCGGCTCCGCGGCACCGGCGACTCGGCTGATCAGGCGGCTCGGGCGGCTCGGGCGGCTCGGGCGGCTCGGGCGGCTCGGGTGGCTCAGGCGGCTCGGGCGGCTCGGGCGACTCGGGCGGCTCGGGTGTCTCGGGCGGCTCGGGCGGCTCGGGCGGCTCGGGCTGTTCTGGCAGCTCGGGCGGCGCGGGCGGTGTAGGGCGGCAGGGCCGCTGGTGAACGGTGGCGGGGCCGCTAAGTAGGGTGGCGGGGCCGCAGGAGTAGGGCGGCCGGGCCGTAGGAGTAGGGCGGCGGGGCCGCAGGAGTAGGGCGGCGGGGCCGCAGGAGTAGGGCGGCAGGGCCGCAGGAGTAGGGCGGCGGGGCCGCTGCATAAGGGCGGCGAGGCCGCTGAGCAGGGCGGCGGGGCCGCGAGGTAGGGCGACGGGGCCGCGAGGTAGGGCGGCGGGGCCGCGAGGTAGGGCGGCGGGGCCGCGAGGTAGGGCGGCGGGGCCGCGAGGTAGGGCGGCGGGGCCGCGAGGTAGGGCGGTGGGGCCGCGAGGTAGGGCGACGGGGCCGCGAGGTAGGGCGGCGGGGCCGCGAGGTAGGGCGGCGGGGCCGCGAGGTAGGGCGGCGGGGCCGCGACGACGGGCGGCGGGACCGAAGCGACGGGCGGCGGGGCCGAGGCGACGTGCGGCGGGGCCGCTAGGGGAAAGGGCCGCTAGGGCGGCTCGACGAGGTGAGAGCCCGAAGTGCGACTCGGGCGGAGTGCGCTTCGGGCAGGAAAAAAAAAGGTCGATGTGGTGGGCCCTAGGCACAGTTCCCACGGGGGAACCTGCTCGATACCATGAGAAGATGTGAACGAGAATGAATGACTAAGGAATGGAAGTGATACATTTATGCAACCCTAGAAATGTGTACCCCATATGGGCTACCCCACTATAGCCTACACAATATTATAATTTGACATGAACTTCTCGTGGTGCTGGGTGCAGTTGCTGCGCGGGTGTCGGTGGTGTGTCGTCGACGAAGATCGGTGCCGTTGAAGGACCAACGATTGGTGTTGATGTTGCCGCTGTTATCTCCGTTGTCTCTGTTGCTACCGTTGTTGTCTCTGCTGCTGCCGATGTTGTCTCTGCTGGTGCCGATGTTGTTTCTGCTGCTGCCGATGTTGTCTCTGCTGCTGCCGAATGTTGAATTGTTGCTAGCGCTCTTGTTCTTTCTGCTTCAGGTATCGTGTGTGAATACCAGAAGCCGCCGGGGCTGAATTCTGGGTCAAGGTCCGGTGGATGCGTCCAAGATGGGAAGGTGACGATGCCGTCGCTGTCGGCGGTGCCGAGGTCTGGAACGAAGTCGAGAACGAAGACATTGTTCTTCAAGACTGCCTTGCCGATGTAGAGTCCTCCTCTCCCGTGGTACAACTTGAACTCCTGGGTGGTGCTGTCTGCTTCGAGGTGAATCCCTTTTGCCATCAAGTGGCTGACGCTCAGTAAGTTGTAGCCGAGTCCCTCCGCGATTAATACCTTTGACATCTGTAGTATAGCGTTTGTCTCTCTTGACTGAAGTTGAACTACGCCTTGTCGTCGTGTGCGCAGGTTCTGGTTGTTGGCGACGGTGATGACTACTTCGCGTTGGAGTTGGTACTCTTGCTGCACAAAGCGTCCTTAAGAGCGCATGTGCTGTCCGCAGCAACTGTCCAAGAACCAGGTGTCTTTCCCGGATGGCTCGCTCTAGGCGATGGCTGCATACGTTGGATCCGGTTGAAGGGACTCGCGGCGATGTGTGGTGTTGTCGAGTTGTTCTTCCGGTGAGTAGTGTGGCGGTGACTCGGTGATGCAGGAGTCTGGCAATCTTGCCATGCAGTTGACGATATTTCTTGTTCCTTATGCAGGTTGTGTTGACGGCGGTGTCGACTTGACTGCTTGAGGGTCGAAGCTGCCGTTGTGGCAGTGTTGACTGTTGTCGATTCGGGCAGTGTGTGCGCGGGTGTCCTGACGTCTTGCAGAGACGGCAGAACGGAGGTACAAGCTTTGGTTGTTGTCGGTTGTTGTTGTTGTTGTAGCGTCGCTGAATGTGAAACGCGAATTCGGGTACAGATGCTTTCTTTTTGTGCCGTTCCTCTTGCAGGTCCATGTCTTGTTGCTCGGCGTGTATTTCGGCGCAGAGCGCTGCCTCGGAGATTCTTCCATGAGCTCGGAGAATGGCCTTTGTGGCGCGCCATTGAGGGCCGAGGCCGCTGATGATGAGTGTCACGAAGGCGTCTTCAGATATCGGCCCTCCGCATCGAAGGAGTTTGTCGCGCAGCTCGCGACAACGGCTGATATACGCTATTCCCTTTTCGCCTGGTTTCATTTCCACTATTGTCAACTGCGCCATTAGCCGACTCTGATTAACGCTATCTGTTGCTTGGTACAGGTTCTTCAAGTGGCTGTATGCGAGTACGGCGGAATTACCATATCCCCGGTAAGACCGTATATTCTGCTGCTGGTTCGGGTTGATGTTCCTCAGTAGAATCGTATACGCCATCATTGACTGATAGGTGTACTGTTGCTTCTCGTATTGTGTGCCGTTTGTTGGGTATGGCAGGGATCCGTCGAAGAAGCCAAGTATCTGCGCGCCTTCCATCATTAACTCGAACTCGAACGACCAGGTGAAGAAGTCCTTTCCGTCGAAAGGTCTTGACGTCTGCAGTTTTAAAACGTGCGCGAAATGCGACTGAACTTGAAGTGCGTCCAGTGGTTTCTCCTGTCCAGGTGCAGGCTGCGGTTGTGGCATAAAGCTGACGGAGCCGCGCTGGGGCTCGTATGGAGCAAAGGTAGGTTGCTGCTGTTGATTTCCACGTGCGTAGGATGAACCGTCAAGGCTCATTGGAGTCACGTCGTTGTTGTTGTTGCTGTTGTGTGACTGCGCAAGTACCGATTGCTGGTGTTGCTCGTAGAAGGACATGAAGGAGAAAAACTTCTCCATCATGCTCTGGTCGAAGCCTGCAGGTTGATTCGCAGGAGTCTCGTTGGATGTTGCCCTGGGTCTTGTTGCAGTACCCTCCTCTGTCTGTAGGCCAGAGGCAGGAGGTGGAGTAGGAGTAGTGCCGAGAGAACCAATAGAGGAACTCCTTTCCGTACCCTCCTCTGTCTGTCCTTTGACTTTCGCGTAACCTCCAGCAGTTACTTCAACCTCCGAGGGTTGACTCGCTGGTGCCTCGATATGCTTCGCTTCGCTTGTGCCTTGGTGTTTCGACACGACAGAGGCGCTTAAGCTTGATTGTTTCCAACACAAATCATAGGTTTTAAGGTGATAATCAATCTCTGCTCTCATTTTACTTTCTCTCTGTCTTGTGTCACACCAATCCACTGAGGCAATCCTGTGAGACACTCATTGTATTTGTTGCTGAGCTAATCCTACACATGATTAACACATTTTTTCTCAGCATTCTCATAATGAAGGTAAGTTGGTACTTATGTTCTACACTTATCGTGCTTCGAATGCTTTGAACCACCGTGCTTATCGAAGTGTATTGTGAAGCGATCGAGGGACAATAGTGCTTGTACGGAAGGCCGAGCAGGGAAAGCAAGCAGGGCAAGGCGACGAGACGACAGACAGCTGTGCAGCGCTGCACTGTAGCGCATAAATACACCTGCTGCACTCACACTGCCTGTACACTCTTCCCCGCCCACCACCAACCCCACCACATGGCTGCCTGCCAGCCACACAGCACAGGTGTAGGCTTTTCCAGACGTAAAGCGGCGCCGAGGACGTAGTTACATAGAAGACTAATGGTTGTCGCCAATTATATTTAATTTATAGCGACTCCTAGCATGCGCGGCGTTAGAGGCGCGGAGGAGCAAGCGATGCTCGTTAGGGCACGAAGGGGCGAATGTTGGGGCAAGAATGGGTGGGGGAAGGAGGGCGCGATAGTATGAGCAGCAGCGGCGGCAGCGGGATGTTGGACGCGCGAGTCAACGCCGTCCCTTCCCCGCCGCACTTCTCCGCCGCTCCTTCCTCCCTTTTTGACCGCAATCGCGCGATGATGACGTCAGACGCCATGACGTCACACCCCAACTCGATGACGTCAGGCCGCAAAGCTGTATCGCCAGGGCATAAACGAGTCTTAGCAGGGCGCGGGGAAGCGGAGCCGACAGGGGCGCGTGGCGACGATAGCGCGATGGCGATGGAAGATGATTGCTTCTTAAAGCCGTATTACCCTGCTCCCGGCACTCGCCCCTCTCGCATCCCCAATGGCGACTCTCGTATCGGCCAAAGCGATAGCGCCGCCTTCTCTCGCAGTCGCTCCAGCTCCCCCTCCCCCGCTCACTCCGAACCCTCTTCCGCCCATGCCTCGCCCGCCCCCGCGCGCCCGCCGTCCGCCCACAGGAGCGCGACGGCTGCCCCTCCGCGGCCCATCTCGCCTCTGCCCCCGCATGCTGTGCGACGCAGACCGGGCGCGGAGGGGCGCGCGGATGGGCGCGCGGGGGTAGGGGCGGAGCTGCGGGAGGGCAGTCCGGGGCGCGATGGCGCGCTGATGGGCGCCCGCGCGCCTGTCGTGCGCGATGGAGCCGGCGGAGGCGGGGAAAAAGGGGGAGCGGAGAGGGTGAGGGCAGGGGGAGAGGGCGCGAGGGGAAGCGGAGAGGAGGCGAGGGAAGGGGGCGTGGCGCGCGGTAGCAGTAGGCCCCGGCGCGCGAGAGTGGCCAGCAGTGGCGACGCCGTCAACGCGGGCGCCGCCAGTGCAGGCGCGGTTCCAGGACCAGGCACTGCAGCAGCGGACGCCGCACACACAGCAGATGCGCAAGCAGCAGCAGCGGCGCCGCTGACGCGCAGATTTCCCACGGCCCCGCAAACAGTCCATTCCGCCAAGCCTGCTGCGCCACTCAGCAACAGCGGCGAGGGGGGGGCGGGTGCGGCCGAGGGGACGTGGCCGGGCGAAATGGTGGGGGAGGGGGGAAGACGGGGGGAAGCGGGGGAGCAGATGCGGGTTGGGGCGAGGCCGGGCAGTGGTAGAGCGGGGATGAGACGAGGGCTCGGGGTGGGGCAGGCGGGCGCGCGCATGGGCGCGGGGATGGGAGGGGGAGGCGGGGCGCAGAGGCCTGTGACTGCTGGCGGCAGGCTGGTTGTGGCAGGGGCCGGCAACAGCCGAGGCGGTGAGGGCAGCGATGCAGCAGGCAGCGAGACGGGCGTGGGCGATGGGGGGAGCTGGAAGGCCCGCCCGACACACGCTCAGCAGGGCGTGGGGCAGCAGGGCGTGGGGCAGCAGGGCGTGGGGCAGCAGGGCGTGGGGCAGCAGGGCGTGGGGCAGCAGGGCGTGGGGCAGCAGGGCGTGGGGCAGCAAGGGGTGGGACAGCAGGGGATGGGGCAGCAGGGGATGGGGCAGCAGCAGGGCAGCGCAGGAGGGCAGAGTGGGGCGGGGCAGGAGCAGCAGAGGAGGGAGCGGCGGCATGTGCGGCAGGCGAGTCTGCAAGTGGACGCAGTGCAGCGCCTGCACGGCACCAAGGGCTCCGCCTCCCCTCCCCACGCACCAGCCATGCCCCTGCCCCGCCGCCCCCACACCGCCCTCGCCCGCTCCCCCTCGCCCTCCCCCTTTCCTCCGCCCTCCACCGCTGCGCCGCCTGACGCGCGTTCCTCCTCGTCCCGCTCCGCCACCTCCTCCCCCTCCCCCCCTATCCGCCCCCAGCCCCCCTCGCCCCAAGAGGACCGCTCCCCCCGCGGCCTCTCGCAGTCCCCCCCGCGTGGGGGTCCCCCCGCGCCCCTGCACGCGGCAGCATGCGCGGAAGCAGGGGGGGGCAGCGAGGGTGAGACAAGGGGGTCCGCGAGGGCGGGGGAGAGGGGCGGAGGAGGGGGGCGGGGTGGGGTGAGAGCGATGGGGCGGAGCAAGGCGAGTGGCATGGGGCGGGCGAAGGGTGTGATGGGCGTGGAGCGAGCGCAAATGGGAATGGAAAGAGGTGTGATGCGCGCAGAAGCAGGGGGGGCGATGGAGGGAGTGGATGGAGGGGCGGCGGGCGGACGAGGCATCCCTGAAGGGGCACACAGTTCCCTGCGCCAGCAACCGCTGCACGGTCCAGTCAGCGCTGACGTGGCACCAGCAGCAGCAGCAGGAGCAGCAGGAGCAGAAGCGAGCTCGCATTGGAATTCAAATAATCATGGTGGCAGTGAGAGAGGGGGTGAGGGGAATGGAGTGGTTGGGGCTGTTGCAGAGGCCAGGAAGGTCCGTGCAGGCGGGCAGAGCAGCACAGGCAGCAGCACTGAGCTTGCGCCACGAGCGGGCGGCAACGGACGGCTGCGATCGAGTGTGAGTTTCGGGCAGGCCAGTGCGTGTGAGCTGCGCTCTGCTGCTGCTCCCACTGCCACCGGCACTGGCGCTGCCACCACTGGCAGCAGCGGCGGCACCAGCAGTGCAGGGGATAGCAGCGAACGAGGTGGGGAGGGGGAGGGGGAGGGGGAGGGGGAGGGGGAGGGGGCGGGGGCGGGCGCTGCAGGGGGCAGGGCGGAGATGGTCGCTGGCAGCAGGGCGGGCGGCGCGGAGGGGCATGCAAAGGGAGGGGCGGGGCGGCGGTTAACTCGCGCCCTGAGCGCCATGGAGGGGCGCGGTCATGCGCCTTGGGGGCCAGCTGCAGGGGCTGGGGAGGGCGGTGGGGGGAGTGGTGGTGGTGGGGGGGGGGGACAGGGCTCCAAAGGGCTGAGTGAAGGGGAGGGCGCAAGTGGTGGGCTGGGGAGGCAAGGGGGGGCGAGGGCGCGTCCAGAGCAGATGGCGGGGGAGGAAGGCAGAGAAGGCGAGAGGGGGGGAGGAGGGGTGAGTGCAGGTGAGAGCAGTGGGTTCAATGGCAGGGGAAGAAAGGCGCGAGAGGGACCCGCCAGAAGTTCGGGTGGGGAAGGGGGAGCAGCAGCAGCAGGGGTGGCGAGACCCGAGGCACACACAGGTGCCGCTGTGGCCCTCGCTTCTGCCCCTTCCCCCGGTAGTGAGTCGGGGAGGGGCAGGGGCGTGCAGATGGGTGGGGAGAGGTGGACAGCGGCACAGAGGGCTGCAGCACGGGACATGCAGTGGGAGAGGGAGCGGGAGAGGGAGAGCGGCAGGGGCAGAGCGACCCGCGGGAGAGAGAGGAACCGGTCGAATCCTGCCACTCCCACAGGCACCTCCCGCACACCACGAGGGGCCGTGGAGGGTGGGGGGACGCCGAGGGGTGTGGCGGAGGGAGGAGGGGGTGCTGCGGGTGAAGGGGCGGAGGGAGGGGGCGGGTCAGGGGAAGAAAAAGCGGGGCGTGCACGTGCAAGGCGGGGTAGGAAGGGTGCGGGCGAGGGGGGGGTGAGGCGAGGGGAGGCTGGTGATGAGGGCGAGAGGAGTGGCCGGGCGAGTGATGGGATGGTGGAGGGAGGGAGTGTGCGGCAGCAGAGAGGCTTAGAGGATGGGCGGAAAGGGCGAGAGGGAGGTAGAAGGGGCGGGGAGAGCAGTGAAAGTGGTGTGGTTGGAAGGGAGAGAGAGGGGAGAGAAGCGGCACAAGTGGAGGGTCTAGGAGAGGAAGGGCCAGGGGGCATGGCAGGATTGGGCTCATCTGGCTTCAAGGGGTTGGCACAACCACGGATGCAGCAGCAGACAGAGCAACTGCAACAGCAGGCGCAGCAGCCGCAACAGCAGCAGCAGAGGGAGAGGGAGGGGCAGGGGTGGCAGCATGGGCAGGCAGTGCAGGGGGAGGCAGAGAATGGGAGTGGCAGCAGAGGGGGCAGCGCACAGGAGGGCGAGGTGGAGGTGGGTGCAGTGGGTGGTGGGGGCGGGGTGGGTGGGGCAGGCGGGGTGAGGGGGCGGCGAGGGGAGGTGGTGACAAGCCGGCCGTGGCACGCGCGTGTGGGGGAGGGGAGGGGTGGGCGCGCGTGGGACGAGTCAGCAGCCATCGGGGCGCCGGTCACGCTGCTTGCTGCCGTGGGCAGCGGCAGTGCGGCGGAACTTGCAGTACGGCCCATGCCATTCACTGGGGTTGCTGCTGCTGCTGGGGTTGCTGGTGGGGTTGCTGGTGGGGTTGCTGCTGCTGGTGGGGTTGCTGGTGGGGGGGGTGCATGTGAGGCGATGCCGCTGACGCCGCCTGTGCTGTCCCTCACGGAGCAGCGCCTGCTGGCAGCCCGGCACGGCGCAGCAGGGAGTGCAGGGGGCGGAGCAGCAGGGGGGGCAGCAGTGGGGGGCGGCAGGAGGGGGGCGCGAGCCATGGTGAAGAGCATGTCCATGTCCGCCGCCGACCTGCACCTTGTGCCCTCGCCGCACGCCACTCCGCCCCCTGACGCTTCTGCCGGGAGGGTTGCCATGGGCACCGGTGTAAGCACCGGCACGGCCGTGGGCGTGGGCGTGGGCGTGGGCGTGGGCGTGGGCGTGGGAGCGGGAGCAGGCTCTCGATCTATGGCCATTTCTCGCACATCCTCCTCCTCCGGCCGCCCCGCATTCCCACGCGCTGCTTCTACTTCTGCTGCTGCCGCAGCTGCAGAAAGTGCGTCTGCACACTCACTTGCCATGCACCCCGGCCAATCCGTGCCTCCTGCCAGTGACACTGCATCAGCCGCCATGTTCCTGGGCATGGGCCTCCCTGCCGCTCGCAACTCTGATACCTCTGAGCGCCTGCTTCGCCTCACAGCGCGGTGGAGCGAGGTGCAAAGCGGTGGCGGCGGGCGGACGGGGGCAGGAGTGCACTCGGATACGCCAAGGCTGGGCAGCGGCGTGGGGGGATCCATGGACCTGCGGCGAGCAGCCTTCCATGCAAGCATGGGCGCCGGCACGAGCATGGGTGCAAGCATGGGCATGGGCGTGGGTATGGTGGGCATGGGCACAGGAGGAGGGAGGGTTGGCGGGGGCATCCCAGCATGTTCGAGTGCGGAGGCGGATGTACCCGCGTGGGCGGCTCCCCAAGGGGACAGTGGGGGCGCAGAAGCAGGTGGGGGGAGTGCAGCAGCAGGTGCAGGTGCAAGAGGTGGTGGGGCGGGCAGGCGGGCAGGAGGAGGCGGTGCGAGCGGGCGGTCTGGGCTGGGAGGAGAGGGGGGCCTCACCCGCGGTGGGTCGGGTGTGAGTGGTGCTGTGAGTGGTGCTGTGGGCGGTGGGATGAGAGCAGGTGCACCTGCGGGTGCTGCGCTGCGGCGCCATGGCAGCATGTCTCTGCACCAGCAGCTCGTGGCTCCTCCTGTTGGCACGTGGCAGGAGCAGGCCGTGCAAGGTAAGCAGCTCAAGATGAAAAGTGCCATAGCCGCTGCCACAGCCGCCGCTGCTGCTGCTGAACCCGCTCTTGCCACTGCTGCTGGCACTGCTAATTCTGCATCTGCAGCGGCAGCGGTGGTGAGTGGGAGTGGGTTGCAGGAGAAGGCAGTGAGAGCGTATCCATTGGCGAGGGCGCACACGACAGCAGCTCGCAGCACACTGCGCACGCCTCCCTCTGCTGCTCTATTTGACTCGCGCAGCTTCAGCAGCCGCGCCACTCCCCCTGCCTCCACCAGCAGCAGCGGTGCCAGCACCACAGGTGGTGGCAGCAGTGGCACGAGCAGCAGCGGCATGTGCAGCAGCGGTGCTGGTAGCAACGGCGGGGTGAGCAGCAGCAGCAGCAGCAGCAGGAGGCTGAGCGTGAGCAGCTCGTCCAGTGCCATCACAGCCCGCAGTGCCACGCTCACTGGCAGAATGCTCACCAGCACCTCCTTCACCACCACCAGCACCACCACTAGCACCCTACCCACCACCACCACCTTTTCCACCAGCGCCACTGCTGGTGGTAGTGCGAGCAGCAGCAGGGGCTTCCATCGTGCCGCCACTCTGAACGCGCGCTCCCTCGGCCTCTCCCTGAACGCGCCTGCCCTCTCTGCCCTGCCTGCGCCTGACGTGCATGGGGCGCCCTCCTGCCCTGCCGCAGCTGGTGCTGTGCCCGGCACGGGCAGCACCCGGCATGAGCTTGCCCGCAGCGCCAGCAGCAGCGCTGCCAGGCTTAGGGGCGCGGCGGTGGGGGTCGGGGTGAGAGGCGGGTGGGAAAAGGGGATGTTGAGGAGTGATGGTGAGCGGGAACAGAGCGGAGGTGGGAGAGAGGGGAGCGGAGGAGGGAGAGAGGGGAATGGAGGTGCAAGAGAGGGGAGTGGAGGAGCAAGAGAGGTGAGTGGAGGAGGGAGAGATGGTAGCAGAGGAAGAAGAGGGGGTAGTGGAAAAGGGAGAGAGGGGAGTGGAGGAGGGAGAGAGGGGAGTGGAGGAGGAAGAGAGGGAAGTGGAGGAGTAAGAGAGGGGAGTGGAGGAGTAAGAGAGGGGAGTGGAGGAGTAAGAGAGGGGAGTGGAGGAGTAAGAGAGGGGAGTGGAGGAGTAAGAGAGGGGAGTGGAGGGGACGGTGGGTGGGCAGAGGCAGCAGCAGCAGTGGCATTTGGGACAGCAGCAAGTGGGACAGCAGCAAGTGGGACAGCAGCAAGTGGGACAGCAGCAAGTGGGACAGCAGCAAGTGGATCTATAACAGGGAGGTCAGCTGCAAGGGTGAAAGCGATGAGGGGAACAGCAGCAGGGGGAACCACAGAGAAGGGAGTGGACGTAGGGGCAGCAGGAGGAGGGGAAGCAGCAGCAAGGGGAGCAAGAGCAGCTGGAGAAGCAGCAGGAGGAGGAGGAGCAGCAGGGGCAGCAGCAGCAGGGGCAGCAGCAGCAGCAGCAGCAGCAGGAGGAGGAGGAGGAGGAGGAGCAGCTGGGGCAGCAGCAGCAGGAGCAGCAGGGGCAGCACCAGCAGTAGCAGGGGCAGCAGGGGCAACAGGTGCAGCAGGGGCAGGGAGCAGCAGGGGAGGCGGCAGGGTGGCAGGGAGGACACTGCGCAAGATGGCGAGTGACAACTTCCGCTCCTCCGCCCGTCCCATGGGCAAGGCCATGGGCAGCCATGGGGGCATGGGCATGGGCATGGGCATGGGCATGGGCATGGGCATGGGCATGGGCATGGGCATGGGCATGGGCATGGGCATGGGCATGGGCGTGGATGGGGTGAGTGCAGGAGGCAACAGAGCAGTGAGGCTGTCCTCTACAGCCAGCTCGCTGGACCTCGCTGTGCCCTCTGCTGCTGCTCTTGCTGCCTCCGCCTCTGCTGCTCGCCCGGCTGGTACTGCTGGCGTGGGCACAGCCGGTTGGAGGGGGGATGCACGGAGGAGAGGGGGCAATGAGGGCGGTGGGGAGGAGAGGCGGGGGGAGGAGGAAGGGAAGGTGGGCAAGGAGGAGGCGGTGACGCCGTCGAAGGCGAGCAGAGAGGACAGTGTGACGCCCAGCCGCCTGTCGCGCGCCCGGCGAGCTGTTCTGAGTGCTGCTGGTAAGGAGCGGCGGCGCGCTGCTGGGAAGGGTGGTGAGGGAGAGGAGGAAGAGGAGGAAGAAGAGGAGGAAGAAGAGGATGGAGAGGAGGAGGAAGAGGAGGAGGAGGCTGAGGAGGTGGGAGGGGAGGAGGGAGTGACAGACGCTGAGAGCGAGGAGGATTCAAGCATTCCTGTGGCGGCCCAGGCAGTCAGTGCGCACCATAGCAGCGGAGAGCAGAGTGGAGCAGCAGCAGCAGCAGGGGGCAAGGGCAAGGCGGGGCTGCTGAGCAAGGCAGCCAAGGGCATGCGGGGTCTGGGCGACCGCATCACACGGGCGCGGCTGAGGCTGCTGCAGGGCGGGCAGGCGGACGTGCTGGGGAGGGGGTTCTCGGACGTGCGTGGGGAGTATGACGTGGACGGGGGCCAGCAGGTGGGCAGCGGGCAGTTCGGTGTCATCCGCGTGGTGACACACCGGGCAACTGGAGAGCGCCTGGCGTGCAAGTCCATCAGCAAGACGTGCCTCAAGGTGAGTCCTCTTCATGCCAATCCTGCCCTCGTGGTTTCTCTTTCCCCTCCCACCTCTTCATTCCTCTCACTGTTCCGCGTGCATCTCAGCAGCAGAATCTCGCCCTTTGACGTAGAGGCTCGCAACCCATTCATATATTTTTCACTGGTTTTTTTATTATCCCCGTGCGTGGCCCCCATGCACCCACCACCCGCCACCGCACGTGGCATGGGGCAGTCGAAGGCGGATGCGGCGGACATAAGGAGGGAGGTGGCCATACTGGAGCAGCTCAAGGACCACCCCAATGTCGCCCGCCTCGCTGCTGCCTTTGAAGACCCCAAGGTGCCCCACTCGCCCCGTTAGCGCATGCTCTCGTGCTCGCCCATGATTTTTCTGGCACCTCAAAAACACCCTCGCTCAGCCATCTCCTGCAGCCCCCCTGATTCTTTGTCCCCCTCTGCTCCCCCCACTCCCTCACACTCTGCCTCCCTCACTCATCACCCCTCTTTTCTGCACATGCTGCTCTTCCCTCCTCAACCCACGCTCTCTTACCATTCTTCCCCGCCCCCTTCCCCCCCCACACAACACCCCCCTCTTTCCCCCCCGCCATGGCACTGATGTGCATGGTGCACGGGGCAGGAGGTGCATGTGGTGATGGAGCTGTGTGCTGCCGGGGAGCTCTTTGACCAGTGGGCACGTAGGCCCCTGCCAGCCCCTTGACCATTGCTGCTTCTCTAACCCCAACCCCCCACTTCCACTCTTTTTTTCCCTCCGTCTCTCCTGCCCACGTCACCCTTTCTCCCTGTCTCCCCCCATCCCCTTCCTTCCCTGCGCCAGGAGGTGCATGTGGTGAAGGAGTTGTGTGAGGGTGGAGAGCTGCTTCCCTTTACCCTTCCATCTGCTTCCCCGTTTTCCCCTGTCTCCCCACATTTCTCCCATCTCCCTCCGTCTCCCCTGTTCCCCCCTTCTAACTTGCCAACCTCCATGTCTCCCCGTTTCTCTCCATCTCAAACGCCCCACCCTGTCTCCCCCGTCCCCTCCTGTCTTCCCCCGCCCCCTCCTGTCTTCCCCCGTCCCCTCCTGTCTTCCCCCGTCCCCTCCTGTCTTCCCCCGTCCCCTCCTGTCTTCCCCCGTCCCCTCCTGTCTTCCCCCGTCCCCTCCTGTCTTCCCCCGTCCCACCATCTCTCCTCCCCCCCCGTCTCTTCTCCCCCTCCATCTTCCCCCCCCTCCACCAGGAGGTGCATCTGGTGATGGAGCTGTGTGAGGGCGGGGAGCTGTTCGACCGCCTCAAGGCGAAGCGAGTGTACGAGGAGGGCGAGGCGGCAGCAGTGCTGCGCACGCTGGTGGACGTGCTGAGGCACTGCCACGCCATGGGGGTGGTGCACCGCGACGTCAAGCCCGAGAACATCCTGCTTGTGTCGCAGCACAGCGACACCGATGTCAAAGTCATCGACTTTGGCATTGCTGCCTTCTACAAGCCTTGTGAGCCATGCTGCCTTCCCCGTGCTTGTTTGCACCGCCACCCTCCTCGTTTCGCCAATCCCTTTTGTACCTCCGATTTTCTACGAGCCTTGTGAGCCATGGGGTTAATCACAGTGAACATGTGCTTGCTCTTCTCTCAATTACACCGCTGCACTTCTGCTCTCCCTGGTCCCTGTCATACCTCTTGTTTTCCCTCCCTTCCCCAACCCCTCACATAACCTTCATGGATACACCTGTATCTCCCGCGCATGCATCTGCTTGTCTTTCTCTCGCCTCACATCACCCTCCCCACCCCACCCACGCATGATGCCCCCCTGGCAGCGCGGCCGCTGACAGAGTTTGTGGGGTCGCACTACTACATGGCGCCAGAGGTCATCGAGGGGTGATGTTTCAGGCGCCTCAATAACCCTCCCCTGACCCATGCATGGTGTGCCCCCCTCCCCTCCCCTCCACTCCCCTCCACTCCCCTCCACTCCCCTCCCCTCCCCCCTCTTGCAGCGCGGCCGCTGACGGAGTTTGTGGGGTCGCACTACTACATGGCGCCGGAGGTCATCGAGGGCAGCTACGGCCCACCGGCGGACGTGTGGAGTGCAGGAGTAGTGCTGTACGTGCTGTTATCAGGAGTGCCGCCCTTCTGGGCGCGCTCGGAGGACGGCATCATGCAGGCCATCCTGGACTGCCGCCTGCGCTTCAAGCCCGAGGTGTGGGGCAAGCGCTCCCACCTCGTGCAGGACCTCATCCGCCGCATGCTCACACGGGATCCCAACCTCCGCATCACCCCCGCTGGCGTTCTTGGTAAGCCCCCTGCCCCTTTTCCTGCACCTTGTCCTGCAAACTGTGCTGTGCTCCCTCGCAGTGATTCCCAGTGCTCTGCATGTGCCATGCCATGTTCTGATGTACGCATGTTCTTTTCCGTGCAGCTCATCCGTGGATGGCATCTGCAGCGCAAGCAGATGAGTCGCAGCCGCAGTGACTACTGTAGCAATGACAGCGATGTGCCGGTGGTTGCCAAGCGTTGTGGAAGCATCAAGTGGTTCAATATCCCTCACACCTCACCATCACTTGCGTTGTGCTCCCACCACGATGTCTATAGTTTGTGTTTCTTGTGCTTTGTAGCTGCCACAGCAAGTGCACTTCTTGATGCCTTTCGTCACCTAGAGTTAGCCTCTTAGAATTAGCATAGGGTTATATGTGTAGGTATAATTTGGCTTGTACGTAGGCGCATGTGCAATATAGAAAAATATGTATTAAACTCCAAGTAAAAAATTTGAGCGTCAATGACTTGGCCTGAGAAGGAAAAAAAAAAAACAAGAGGCGACGAAATCGTCTTAGGGTTGCGGAGCTTTTGATATTTTTGCACAAAACATATCATTAATATCGAGATGTAACTTTCACAACACGTACAGCAAATGTTACTTTCGAAAACCGAGACCGTCAGGTTTCATTTCTGCGGTGAATCGATCATGAGATCTTTCCATCTACAAGACTTCTGACGAGAAGTGAGAATGGAATGAATGAACTATGAAACAGTTGGGTACAAGTACTAACCCTAATTGGGTTGTACCCCTTATGGGCTACCCCATTACAGCCTACACAAATGTATAAGCTATAATGTTATGACACACCCCCATAGGCAAAGTGGGGGAGAACAAGTGGTCACAAGACCAGTCAAGCAAAGCAAATCAAAGCAAAGCAAGCTCAGGGTGGATTACAAAGTCACCACACAATCCAAGCACAAGAGTAAGGCCACAAGGCCAGTTCACATGCAAGGCCATATATATAAAGGTAAAACAAGCAAGGGCAGGTATAGAAAGAAGACAGTCCAAACAAGATCAAGAAGTGAGCAAGTGAGGCCAGGTAGGCACAAGACCTAGCACAGTACAGAAGCACTGATGATCACAAGGCGCAAGTGCCTTGGTGAAGATATCAGCACTGTTGGCCTCAGAGGCCACGTAGGTGAGGCGGAGCTGACCACGCTGCTGCAGCTCACGAGACAGGAAGTAGCCGAGAGCAATGTGCTTCGTTCTGTGCTCCAGTCTGTGCTCCCGACACAAGGCCAGCATGGCCTTGTTGTCTACGTACAGAACTGGAGGAGAACGAGGCGGCTCTCCTAGGTCAGTCAGCAGGTAGGTGAGCCAGCGTAGCTCCTGTGCAGCCATGGCCCCTGCGTAGATCTCAGCCTCACAGCTGGAGCCGAGAACAGAGGACGAGCGGGTAGACCGCCACGAAACAGAGCCGGAGCCAAGGCTGAAGGTGTAACCCTGTGACGACCGCTGCGTAGCCTAGTCGTCAGCCCAAGAAGCGTGAGCGTGACCTGTGAGGACTACTCGACGTCGCCCTCCAAGCACTAGCCCCATGCCCGACGCACTGCACACGTAGCGCAACACCCTCTTCGCTGCAGCCATGTGCTCTGGTAGGTGTCTCCCAGGAGCAACATAGCGTGCCAAGATGCTAAGAGGGTATGCTAGGTCAGGTCGTGTGCAGGTCATCAAGTACATGAGGCAGCCAACAAGCTCTGGGTACGGGCCACTCGGCTCTACGGACTCATCCGAAGGCAGAGCTGAGAGCGAGTGGCGAGTAGACAGAGGAGTGGCCTGAGGCGAGGAGTACGTGAAGCCGAAGCGCTGAAGGACCTGCTGCACCATGTGTGACTGAGTCAGGGTAATGGTGCGCTGTGCTCTGTCCCGGGTGATCTGCAAGCCAAGGTAGCTGCGCAGTTCACCCAGGTCTGTGCACGTGTGTCTCTTCTGTAGCTCGGACTTCACGTGGGCGAGTCCAGCAGTGTCAGCAGTGGCAAAGACCAGGTCGTCGACGTACACGAGGATGTAGAACAGTGGCAAAGAGGTGTCGGTGCGTAGAAACAGCGACGGGTCGGCTGTAGAAGGAGCAAACCCAAGAGCCGCAAGTGTAGTCCTCAGTGTGTCGTGCCACTCACGGGGCGCCTGGCGGAGACTGTAGACTGGCCGCCGGAGGCTCCAGTGGGTGCCAGGAGGAAACGACCCAGTGAAGCCAGGAGGGTGGCGCAGCCAGATCTCCTCGTGCAGGCTGCCCTGCAGGAAAGTAGTGCTGAAGTCAAGAGAGTGAAGCTCGTAGTCGCGCTGAGCGGCTATGTGCAGCAGCACCCGAAGAGTGGTCATCTTCGGGGTGGGAGAGAAGGTCTGAAAGTAGTCAACTCCCTGCCGCTGACTGAAGCCTCGAGCCACGTAACGCGCCTTGAAGACAGGCGGAGAGCCCGGCGGCCGCTTCACCTTGAAGATCCACATCCCACTGACGATGTTCGCCCCAGGTGGGGGAACCTCGTCGACGTAGGTGCCTGTGGAATTCCAGGAAGCCATCTCTGCATCCATGGCTGACTGCCACTAAGAGGAGTAGGGACCCTCGATCGCCTCAGCGTACGATCGAGGAGTCGGGATGTCAGGTGCATCCGGGTCTCCCTCAGGGGCAATCAACGTGGACACGAGATGGGGCAAAGTAGCCGCAAAGCACTGGAACTCCTCCTGCCTGTCCTCAAAGACGTCCGTGCTAAGAGCACACTCACCCCGGACGGACGGAGGACAGACAGACTCAGACTCAGCAACAAGACTAGCAGCGTAGTCTAGACGACAGCGAGCAGCGAAGTCGACAAGCTCAGCAACGAGAGCAGACGTAGCAGTAGACTCAAAGGAAGGGTCAGTGACGACAATAGCAAGAAGGCGCGTGACCGAAGGACTAGCAGCACGAAGGGAGTCAGACTCCGGGTCAGCAAGAGAAGGAAGAGAGGACTCTAGAGGAGACGGCAACGGGACACGTAGAGGAGCAGTGGAAGGACGCAGTGCCATCTGGTGTGTGCCGGGGACCGCAGGAGGACGTGGATGCGCAGTACGACCACTAGTGCGAGCAGCACGAACAGGTGACGCGGGACGAGACGCTGGCTTAGGACGCTCAGCAAGACCTCCACTAGGACCAGTGTAGGGAGAAGGAGCAGGTAGAGGGGAGGCGGGCGGTAACTGTGACTGCGACTGGACAGGCGGTGGACACTCTAGGGGAGGAGCAGGACCAGTAGAGGGCGGGAGACCAAGAACCTGCTTAAGGAGCGGAACGAAGTACGGCCTCGGCCGCGCAGCGCCTCTAGAACCAGCAAGTACGGCACCAGTACCCCCAGCGGCAGCACCAGCGCCAGCAGAACCTCCAGCTCCAACAGCGCGAACTCCGGTAGGACCATCAGCACCAGTAGAAACACCAGCGCCAACACCCCCAGCAGCTCCAGCTCCAGCAGCACCAACTCCAGTAGGACTGTCAGCACCAGCTGCCTCAGCAGCACCCCCAGACGCCCCAGCACCAGTAGAAACACCAGCGCCAACACCCCCAGCAGCTCCAGCTCCAGCAGCACCAACTCCAGTAGGACCGTTAGCACCACCTGCCTCAGCAGCACCCCCAAACGCACAAGCACCAGTAGAAACACCAGCGCCAACACCCCCAGCAGCTCTAGCTCCAGCAGCACCAACTCCAGTAGGACCGTCAGCACTAGCTGCCTCAGCAGCACCCCCAGACGCACCAGCACCAGTAGAAACACCAGCGCCAACACCCCCAGACTCAGCAGCACGTCTCCAGCGGCGGGCGAACCACACGCGCAGCTCCTGTGGAGAGAGCGGCTCCCGCCTCGACGAAGTACCGCCGGCGGCCACACGAGCAGACCCAGCACCCCCAGGCTCCGCACCCCCAGACTCAGCACCCCCAGGCTCAGCACCTCCAGTCTCAGCACCCCCAGACTCAGCACCCCCAGACCCGGCACCCGCAGACCCGGCACCCGTACGCTCAGCACCTCTAGCAGCACCAGAGTCTACAGCTACCTCGACTGGCTCGACTGCGTCTACCTGGGACACACCTGAAGGGGCAGGACCCTGAGGAGGGAGGGGGTCTACCTGAGTAGAACCTGGCGCAAGGAAGAGCGGGGGCGGGGGGAGGGGCGCAGTGCGATAGGGGAAGAGACGGTAGTAAGGCACCGACTCGTCAAAGGTGACGTCCTGGGAGGACAGAACACGGCGCGTGGTGGGGTGGTAAAACTGCCAGCCAGGCGCGTCAGGGGGGAAGCCAAGGAAGACGCAAGGAACAGCACTGGGGACAAGTCGCGGACAAACGCCCGAGATCCCCAGACCCGAAACGCAGACGCATCGCCAACCTTCCCTGTCCATCGCAAGGCAGGGGAGGTCTCTGGCAAGGAGACGCGGGGCTGAAGGTTGAGCTGATGCGCGGCGTACTGAACCGCAAACGGCCACAGAAAATGGGGGGCAGCCGCATGCATCATGGACGTACGCGCGACGTCCATGACCATGCCAATGCGGCACTCAGCAATCCCATTTTGCTGTGGAGAGGCCGGAAGCGTGAAGGTCTGGCGGATGCCCTGTGCCCGACACAAGGCTCCCAGACAGGCAGAGGAAAATAGGAAAGTCTCTCTCCGCCTCTGTCCGAGTGCAGACGCAAAACAGGAAAGTCTGAGCCGAAACTCTCTCTGAGCTGGAGACGAGCTGCGCGGATCCAGTCGATCAACACCTCAGTGACGTCACCCTTGTTGCGCAAGGGGAAGACTGTGGTGTAACGCGAGTAGTCGTCAACGACCAGCAGAAAGTACCGCTCTCTCCCTTGCCCGCTGACGCGGGCTGGGCCCCACACGTCCATGTGTAGAGTCTGCAGCGGAGCCTCTGTCGGAGGAAACTCGGAGGAGTGAGGGGTGGCGCGCTGTCGCCCCTCGACGCAGGGGACGCAGGTAGGGCCAGGCCCCGGAGGAAGGGGAGGGAGAGACCGAGGAAGACCAGAGACAAGGACACGGGAGGCCATGCCTCGGAGACGAGGCAAGGAGGGGTGACCAAGGCGGTGGTGCCAAAGGAGAGTCTGGTGAGACAGCAGACGACACGAGCAGTGGGCAGACTCAGGACCAGACCTGGACGCCGCAGCAAACACCTGACTCGACGCAGCTACCTGGGCAGACTCACCAGT